ACTTTTGCTCCCTTGAAGGGGGGGGGGGGAGAAAAGAGAGAAGAGGAGGATAGGAAGTGTTAAGTACCACACAGCAAAGATGAGGGGTCCATTGTCAATGCAACCCAGCTCCAAGGCTAACAGCAGCTCCTTTGTTTGGAAGCCTCAGTGCTGGCTGGCAAAGAAGGAACACAACTGACGCGGCAATTCTGCATTTGCAGATCAGGGATTCTCAGGTCTGTCGTTGGGAATCTGTTTGTAGGGAACAGGGTTTTTCAAGTTCCTACAGAGGGGGTGAGGAATGGGAAGTGTGAGCCAGACAGCACACACAACCAGAATGCCGTGCAGACAAAACCCAGTTTTGGGGAACAAGAGTGCTGGATAATAATATACGATTGCAAATAGTTCTTCCTCTTCAGCTTTTACCAATTAGCAACCAGTCCCCAGGGCCCCAAGCACAGTGAATCGCTCTGCTGCAGAGATTTCCCTCTCACCACGCAGTAGGCCTCTTGGGCCTACTGAGGATTTTAATCCACAACAGCAAAAAGCCAAAACTTGCCTTGAATCCCATACTGCGAAAACCAAAAGACAAGCCTAATTCGTAGACCATTTACAGATCCAAACACAGACTGCAAGTTCCGTGTTGAAATAATCTCCAGGCGCACAGGGCCGGTTCAGATTGGGACCATGGGGAAAGGGAGCATAAGAAACCTTTTCTGGGCAATTTTCTTGACCAGAAACGACCCCACGGAACTGCTACTTGCCCTGCTGGAGAGACTTGCCTACTGGTGGGCTATACACAAGGAGTAACAGCTGCTCCCAAGGAACTGCTTCAGGAGGAACTTCAGTCCTCTCTCTCCCTGCATGCCACAGTCTTGACCCAAACAGAGCCCCTGCAGGCCTGGGAACTGAGTTGTGCATGCCTTCTCAACAGCAGCTGGGGTGGACCGTACGCAACGTATTGAATAATCAGGCCCTCAGACTGCCCTGGGACAGTTTCTCCAACGTCACTGGAATTCTAAGGTACATATTAATCTGTTTTATACTGAATCAGGCCATGGGTCCAGCAAGGTCAGTACCATCTTAACTCAGGCTGGCGGTGGCTCTCCAGAGTCTCAAGTGGAGGTCTTTCACGTCTCCTACTCCCTGGCCCTTTTAACTGGAGATGCAGGGGACTGAACCCGGTACCTTCTGCAGGCAAAGCTCAAGCTCTACCACTGACCCACAGCCCCTCCCCCCTAGGGCACTAACTGTACGAAGGCTGCTCCCCCCCAGGTGGTCTTCCTTCACTGTCCTTTGCCTCATGTAAGCATCCAGACATTTATTTAGGATTATCTCAGCCTTCCCAAATGACTCCACTGATACGGACAGCTGTTTTTCCATTTAGCGGAAGGCTGTTACAAGAGCCGATGCAGGCGTAACATCTGTCATGTTTAGCCCTCTTCCAAGGAACTCAGGATGGCGCACACTGGGGTGGTTCCATTTTATCTCACAAAGTAGGTTGGGCTCCATGTGTGTCGGCAGCCCAAGGTCATCCAGATTGCCAAATGCTGCCTGGGGGATTCAAGCCGCGGTCGCCTGGCCCAATGCCAGTGCCGTCCCTGACATCACATTTGATCTACAGACGCTTTGCAGCCCTGTTGTTTGTACTGAAACAAGGAATGGGATGCTAAATCAGAATCCTGCTCTTCTACACATTACACAACCATACGACGTACTCTTAAGTTCACAGAATCCAGTTGTTGATGCTCTGGAAGCAAAGGATGTTCCTGATTTGTGTGTGTGAGCGCCGTTTTAAGCACTGGCTTATATAAATAGATCTTTCCTGGAAGCAACTTAAAAAAAAAATCACTCTATTAGCTGATAATATGAAAGAGAGATAAGAAATAATGGCTGGAGCCCTTCCTGCCCTATCAGCCTCTTTCGTGCTGGACAAGGCTAATTGCTTAGCGAGAGGAGAGGAAAGACAACAACCAGCAGATAAAAGCTTTCCACGCAGCTCGTGACAAGTCAACCGTTATGAAATAGGAAGTTGGGAAGAGCCCTTACCAGAACCACACAAAGAGAGGGTTGTGTGCCAGCACAGAGACACTCACTCTTGCTGTCGACCCTCTTCACATACTGGCGAGTGGCACTGCTGCTGCTTCTGATTTGTGGTAACTCCCACACCTGTCTTGATGTACACTAGTCTTGCAATGATGTGGGCCCTGCGAGTCCAGGCCGGCCAGAGATTCAACACCAAAGCAGCAGGGGTCCTACACAAAATGCCGGACAGCAGTAGCGTGAACACAAGATGGACAGACGGCAGTAGCGTGAACACAAGATGGACAGCCATGTGGCAGGAAAAGGCTCTACCCTTCAGAGCGCTGAGTCTTGCCCTGAACAAGGAGGCATACAGGAACTACTCCAATCACATTCAGTTTAAACATGCTTATTATCTTCCAGAGCAGTTGAGGCTGCACTTGAATGCAGTCCACTGGGAAAGAATTAACCTAATCCTAACAATGACTTTTTCACATAAGAACCAAGAGCCAGTTCGGTGTCATGGTTAACAGCGCGGACTCTAATCTGGGACAACCAGGTTTGATTCCCCACTCCTCCACGTGCAGCGGCTGGTGTGACCTTGGGTCAGTCATAAGTTCTTTCAGAGCTGTTCTCTCAAGAGCAGCCCTCGAAAGAGCCCTCTCAGCCCCACCTACCTCACAGGGTGTCTGTTGTGGGGAGGGGAAGGGAAAGGAGATTGTAAACTGCTTGGAGACTCCTTTGGGTAGTGGAGGGCGGGGTATAAATCCAATCTCCTCCTCCACTGAGATGCCAGAAGAGACAAAAGGGACATCATCCTGGCCATTGGTTCTGCCCTGGCTGACTACATTCATGGAAGACTGACATGGCATCAAGCCTTCCAGCATTGCTTCATTACAGTCGCAACTAAGCGCACTGGGGAGGAAATGTAGGCCAGTGAAAAAGTGCAGAACCGCCCTCCCGGGTCCAGTTCTGGACATCTCTAAGCAGACAGGGCTGTGAAAGAGATCCCCGCCCCCAAAGAGCAAGTGACTATCATGCTGCTGAACTGGATAATCCAACCATGTAAGGCTGCTCCATGTGTAACTGGATGCTCCAGACGATTTGGGCACACAGGACATAGGGAGCGTCTTGCAGGATCAGACCAGAAGGGTCCCTCCTCTGGGTCAGCATTCTGATGCCAACAAAAGCCAGCTGGGTGCCACTGGAAGCCCCCAAGTAGGGCACAGAGGTAACAAAAGCCTTCCGCCCTGCTGTCTGTACTAACCTGCTATGCTAAGAGAAATACCGCCTGTGAACACAGATCATCCAAGCTGCTCCCCCATATTGATCTCCTGAAGCTAGCAACTATGAGTTTCACTGACCAACACAGAGTTCTAAGGGAGAGAGAGAAAAACTCAACCTGGATCACAGTGAGATGGGAGGGGGGGCATTTTGCACCATTGAGGGCAGCCTGTGGAAGCAGAGGGGAAATGTGGGGAGGGGGGAAGAGACAGTAATCATGAAGTCCTCCTGACGGCAAAGGAAAACAGACCTACATTTATGCAGCATGCTTGATTCATCATCTTTTTCGGCTGGAAAGATCCAGCAAGACTAAGGAGGAACCTAAGGGGGGGGGACATGAGGAGGGAAACAGGAAAAAAGCTGGCCTTGAAACTGGCTGGTGGAGCACACAGAGGCTCAAGAGCCTCCTCCGGTTACGTGAGACACCCTCCTGGGATTCCAAGAAGCCAGCCTCCACATGGGCCTGTGTCAAAACGGCAGCTAGTGAATGCCAAACGCCAGTCCTCTCATGACGTCTTGGCCTGTTGTGCCACCAACCCTTTCTTTGGAATGTGGAGCTTATCTTGCAAGCTGATCCAGGAATGACAACAGAGAGAGGTCCTCCACGCCCTCCTCTTCTGGAGCACGTCTTAAAAGGCTTATCACCTACTTGGAGGGCATATCTTGCCCGCCTTCCCCCTCCCCTTGCTCCCAAAGAAAATGCTGCATCCCTTTAAAAAAACGCTCCTTTCCAATAACACCACCTTTGCAAAGTCCTTCGAGCGCAACCTGGCCAGGCCTTTCAAGGGGAAACGCTTCTGAGTGGACCACATGACCAGAGAACATAAAGCCTTTTCAGGGTGGCACCATCATCACCTTCTGCCCTGCAGAGATGTAGTGGAAGCAACCTCCAAATAAATAACTAATGAAGCAAAAGCTACAAGCCCTCATATAATAAAGGGGCACAACGCATCAATCTTATGGCACACGGACAACCGAAGAAGTAGGACCATGTGGCCCTTGGGTGGTGGGTACCAAACTCTCCTCCAGCAAAACCAGCTGTCTCACAAGCCCAAACAGATGGCAGAACTTGGCTGTGGGAGACAATTTTTTTCATGTAATTGTTCTCTAAATGTCCGACCCAGTTGTTTGTAACTGAATCCACGACTGTACCCAAGCATGCAGAGCCGGTATATAACAAACCCATAAGATGTAAGTAAAGAGAGGATATAAAAACAGCACCTTAGACAAAACAATTTGATAAGGTATATATAAGGAATATGTTTAATGAGTTCCTGAAGCCTGGTGTTCATGAGACAACTCCTTAATGTGAGGTTTGACTCCTTGGTAGTGTCAGCTTCCATCATACTATATGTTTATGAGGATGTTCAAAGGACTCTGTGAAGTGTTCTCAGTAACAACCACCCTGCAAGGTAGTTCCATGTTGGCGATGAAATCCTGTATTGGCCATCAAGTCACAGCTGACTTATGGTGACTCTGTAGGGTTTTCACGCCAAGAGACAAACAGAGGTTGTTTGCCACTATCTGCCTTTCTGTAGTGAACCTGGAATTCCTTGGTGGTCTCCCATCCAAGTACTAACCAGGGCCGACCCTACTTAGCTTCTGACATCTGATGAGATCAGGCTAGCCTGGGCCATCCAAGTCAAGGCAGCTCAATATTCTCTTCGCCATACTGCAGATGTGAGGTGCTGAGGCTCAGGGCCAGCAGCTCACCTAAGGCGAGTAGAGGCAAGATCTCAGCCAAGTCAAGATCTGAATCAGAGATGTCTTTGGCTCACAGCTCAGTCTCAACTACTTTGCTTGACAGCAGATTTTTCCACTGGTCGCCAGCACTTCTTGCAGTCCTACTGGTGCCCAATTAATTCCATGATGTGGGAATATGTAGGATTCACACTTTACTGAGCATCAAAGAGGGATGGATGTTCGTAAAAAAAAAGGGATACTGCACCAGAGAAGACCAATTCACAGGTTTTACAAACACGGCTAATTTCGAACACTCTCTGACACATACAACCCGCCAATGCAGCTGAGGCCTCCTCCAGAAACGTGGCCTAGCTGTGCAGCCTTAGAAAGTCGCACACTATGGAGGCTTAGTTTGTTCGGCACAGCACTCCTTGCCTGAGTTCATTACCTAAAATACAGGCAAAGAGCCTCCACAAAACCAGCAGGACCAACTTCCACCCTCATCCCAGCCAATTGTTTGTTAAGCTCCCTGTACTGGCCACAGGTACTCCCAATTTACACGGAAGAATGTGCTCAAATGAGAACCCTGCCGTCTGCCGTCCTTTCCCACCCGCCCACCACACACGAAAGGTGCATGTTACACAAATCAGGCAAGAGATAGGCCGAAAAAACATTCTTTTTTTTTCAGTTCGAAGGAAATAAAACTAAACTCCGAGCCACTTAACTGTGCATTTTGTTTCTTCAATGGCAGTATACAGATTCATAAATAACTAAACAGCCTTTTGGGAGGCAACCAAAAGGCCAGAGTGCAAGCCCAAAGAACTTGTACATTCATGGACGAGGCAGCTTTATCCAGGACAGTGACAGGCACAAAACCCCAAAACACATGATTTGTAACTCAGGAGGTGCATGCGTGGACAGAAGCTTCACTCCCCACCCCACCCCCCATCCCAGCACACAAGAACTACACTCAATCCTTGTTCCCTTCGGTCTCTCCACTGAAGCTGCAGGTGATACACATCTGGAGACATTCCACTCCCAGCAAACTTATTCAAACAAACTTTCCAACACATAGCCTCAGAAATTCTCACTCTTTTTATTAAAAACAAACCAGGGCAGGGTCGGAGTAATTGTCAACTGAGCACATGTGACATTTGGTCCTTCAGTCAGCTATTCTCAAACTGTGGGTTGGGATCCAGAAGTAGGTCATGAGATCAGGGAGGAAAGGAAAAGAAGCAACAGGGTGAAGCTAGGAGAGTTGATGGGAAATTTGGGTTTGTCCCTGCATCACATGTGAAGCCATCGTGACATACAGGCCTGCTGCATATACATGAACTTGCACCATGTCAATGGGCATGTGATTCTTGCATTTTATGTAGGGGGATCAAAACCGCACGGTGTTACTTAGCAAATATGTCCCAAAACAAGGTCCTGCTTCAATGAGTATGAAAAACCACTCTAAACTCTTTGGCCCAGGGACCTGTCTTGTTTTGCTCATGGTAATCCTACAGCTGGGAAGAATTGAAGGTAAAAGAAGGGGATGGCAAAGGATGAGATGGTTAAGACAGTGTTATCGAAACAACGAACATGAAACTGAGCAAACTCCGGAGCATAACAGAAGACAGGAGGGCCCGGCGTGATGTGGTCCATGGGGTTGCAAAGAGTCGAACTCGACTGTGCGACTGAACTACAACAACAACAACAAATCGTACAGTGTGAACCCCTCTTCCCTTTATGTATTGATTTTATTTCATTCGGGATGGCCTCTGCTAGGTCCAACTCCCCCTTATATGCTTGACTGCACTTAGTATTAATTAAATAGAAGGCTGTCATAATCGATTTCTAGCCTAACCTTCCTCCCGGAAGCTCAAGTCAGCATACATGGCTCTCCCTTCTCCACTGGATCCTCACAACCACCTTGTGAGGTAGATGAGGCTGACACGGCAACCGGCCCAAGGTCACCCTCACCCAGTAAACTTCATAGCCAAATGGCAACTGGAACGCAGGTCTGCCAGATCTCAGGTTGACATGCTAACCTCTACACCATGCTGGTTCCTACAGCCTTTACCATCTCAGTGCTGCAATTTACCACCTTCTCCAGGGGCTTCTCTCTCCCAGCCTCACCAGCTGGCCTCTCTAGGGTCCCAAGCACTTCTTGTTTGTCTAAGTGGCCTTTCCTAAGACTGAATGCAGGAAGCCACATAAGTTACACAAATTTCAAAAATTTACATGATTTAGCCATTTTTGCAGATTGTCTCCATATGCT